CTTGTGTGTGCATAGATGGGAAAGGCTGGAGTGCCCGGGAAAATTCCTCTGGAATTTATTATGCTTTAACCACAGGATGTGGTGGTTAAAATTATGCCTTGGGTTTTTGGCACTATCTGGGTTTCAGGCCTCTCCTTAAATCACTTTACTGAGGGACTTTAGTGAAAGTTAGAATTTGGACATTTGGCAGAGTGCCTTTTGCCCCACGTAACTGCTTTATTTCTCTATGTGACCTGCCCTGAACATGGAGGGATTGAATCATGGTTTATCTTCTGGGAAACCACCAGTTGGTGAGACCCTTGGGCTGCTGCTTATCACCCTTATCAGTCAGTTTTGTTAATGTGTAGTGTTCATGAGAGGCTGCTATCTCTCCTTGCACCTTCAACATAAAAAGATAAACTCCTGGGTTTTATGGAAATTAGTTTTATTTATTAGTGGGTTTTATGGAAATTAGTTTTATTGCTTAACTACCCTTTCTTGCAAAATTACTGCCACCTTCAGTTTAGAGTTGGCTGTTTCCTACATCATCATTTCTGATTTATTTATTTTTTGGTCATCCTTTTTTTTAATCTCATTAAGACATTGGGTCTGTTTATGAGTGAATAGTTCAAGCCCACATGACTGTTGCATCATTTTGCCATATTTTCTTTTTTTTTTTTTTTTTTTTTTTTTGCTTGATCCTGCATGCTTTCACCATCATGGTGCATTTCTTTCAAGTTGTGCTGGGTGCATGTCTGTTTAGAGCAGTGAAGCTCTGTCGTTGCCAACCCTGTTAAGATGCAACTGTGGAAAACCACGAGTACCAATATTTGGAGAAGACCTTTAGAGGGGAAGTCTCTGTTGCATTTACTTTTTTAAAATAGTGTCCAGTTTTAGATGTGAAATAATTTAGATGTAAACTGCTTGCTAAGTTTTTAATTAAATGTTTGTATCAGATAAAATATACTCACTGAAATCAAAAAGCTTTCCAGCAGGGCTGCCTAAATGTAAACCTGTCAGCACAGGAAGACCTGGGAAAGCTGCTGAGCTGTGCTGGATCCTGGCTCTGGGTGGGTGGGTGTTTCATCTCAGGCCGCCTACGTTCAGGAAGCAGATTAATTAAATATTATCCCAGGAGAGCAGCAATCGATCTTTGTCTAAATGTCCAGCTTCCCAGGTGTCTGCAGAGGAGGATTTCATGTCCTGTGTCTTCAGAAATACACTGGCAGCTCAAGGAGGGAAAAGGCACCTGAGCAAGGGGTTGAGGGCAGCTCAAGGGTTGGACTGCGTACAGTCAGGTTGCTGACTTGAAACCTAACATGATATTTTAATAATCCAAAATACTTAATAAAAATATTTTGTTCAGTTAAAGTTATTGTAATGAAATGCATTTCTTTAAAGGTGCAATAACAATCCTTCCAACTCTGTTCCTGATGAACATTATAGCATTCTTTTGCCCAAAATGTCACAAAGTGAATGTTTGCATTTCACTTCAGACTGTTGATAGAATGATTCACAATTTTCTCCTTTTCAGTGCAAATGTGACTAATTTGAACAAAATGTAGTTATGCCTGCAGATATGTAGGTACAGGATGAACATTCAGATTAAGGCTCCAGCAGGTTTAATGTTGTTATTAGGAAACCCCTACCAGAGCAAACTCTTGAGACTTGGGGCAACTTTGTACTTTAAAGTAAATAAACTAAGTAGAAACCTGTGCCAAAGTGAAGCGTTTCTTCGTATAAGTTTGTGGAGCTATTTACTGAAATAGTCAGGCTGCCTTGTATTTGTGAATACTTACAGAAAAATCATAGCTGTTATCGTTAATGAATTCTACTGATACTTAAGTTATAAACCTCCTAAATGGATGAAAAGGAGAAAAAAAAAGTGCTGTTTTTTGAAACCGAAAAGCCCAAACTGATATGTTGTTAATTTATGTATAATTGCCACAGACACAATGAAATCTGAATTTCCAGTTGACTAATATGCTAGTGAAAGATCGGGAACAAGATACCCTGAATAAAACTGGGAAGAAACAAATATTTTTGGAAATCTGTTTTGCATTAAACAAGTATTGCAGGTGTGGAATTATGATAGATGAGGAATTCTTAATAGAAATAATCTATCCTTCAACATGGAGTGTCTCTTTTAGGTCAGATTTACTATTTTTGGAGCTAAGGAAGTATTCATAAAATTAACTGAACTGATTAGTCTTATTTTTGCCCTTTACCTCCAAGCCCAAAGCAAAGAAAAATTCTGAAATAAATCAAAAGTAAGGTGCTACTAAAGAGCAAAGGAAAAAAATGATTTTTATACTGCATCTTAGCCATTGCCTCCACCTCTCTCCTGATTTTACACTTTAGCTTGATAGAAATTGGCTACTTTAAAAAAAGGGGAAAAAAAAAAAGAAAAAGAAAACACAAAATATGTAATAGATGAGTGCTGCAGGTGCAGCATTGATCCAGTGGCTCTGTATTGCTGGAATAACAACTCGGTAAGTGTGAAAAGCAACTGCTGCTAGAGCAGCAAGGTGCAGTGCTCATAATGTAACTGGTTGAATATTCTTCAGTCAGAGTGAAAATGGCTTGCAAAACTTGCTAGGGAAATGGGCGCGTGTGGTTAGTGCTGAACGTGGGGAGCTTTGTCTGTCGTGCAGATCAGAAATTGGCCGAAAGTCCTTAGTCTGTGTGTCACTTCCTCAAGCTTGTGGCTTATCAGGAGATACATGAGACTGCTCTCTGGTTCTCTTAAGTGATTTAGTTACAAATATATAGGAAATCTTATTTTATTTTTACTTTTTCCGTTTTGCTGACATGAAGTGCTTCCTATCTTGGTTTAGTGTGTGTGTGCGCGTGCTATGAAGTCTGCTGTCCTTAGCACACATCCTGTAGTGGCTTCTGGGTGAGCAGCTTAAAAACATTTATGTGCAAGACTGGCAGATGGGTAGAGAGACCCTTGCTAAAAATGTTTTCAAGCGTGTCTTAAAAGTTATAATAATGAAATAAGATGAATTTTTATAAATTTGACAGTCTGTAAAGTAATCCTTCTAAGACCAACCTGTTGTATTACAAGTATGAATTTCCAAAATTCAAACTCTTCCAAAACATTGAAAACAATATCACGAAGTCCTGTAGATCCTCTGTAAAGCCTCTGGGGTGTTGTGTTGTTTCTGGTGTGATTTTTAAACACCTTCAGAGTATGTTTTTCTACATGAATTCTCTGGGACAACCTTAATGTTTAGGTGTCCTCCTCGCTTTCCTAACCGAACACCATGGAACAAGTACCCAGCTTTGGTATCTGGTCAGCACTAACCCATTTCAAAGGAACAGGGCCCATCTGCTTGCCCACTAACCAAGGCGTTGAGATATGATGACAAAATGCTGCTAGCTAAAAAAAGAGAGTTCAAGGGTTCAGTAATTTTCCATCAAAGAGAAAATCAGTGCTATATAGCCTAATTTTGAGAAGTCTCTTCAACATAGTGGGCAGATTTCCTGTAGGTACGTTGCTGCCCCAGAAGTCCTGTTTTAGTCTCTGTGTTCTCGTATTCAGTTGCCGTTGCTGTGATGTTCCCCCGAAGAAAGGAAACGGGGACCTTGGGTGTATTTCTACCTGAAGCAGGAAGCATCACTGCTGCTCTGCAATACTGCATGCAGTTCCAGCTGTCTGTTTTCAAGGAACATTTAGAATAAATCAGCAAGACTGGAGAAAAGAGGTGCATGTTTTATGAGTGATGATTACAGCAGTTTGTTTGTTCTAGGAGAAGTTTACCAGAAAAAGTAAAGTTCAGGTATATATGAAATCTTTTCCAATAAAATTTCCCTCTGTCAAATCATTGGGCAATTCCATCTGCCTTTCAGCTCCCAAGGTGGTATCTAAGTAAGGAGCTTTGGGGTGAGCAGCAGATAGGGTGCCGACATGTTCCCATCTCCCCCTAAGTGCTGACTTGTGACACGCTTCCTGCGAGCATCTGCCCCTGGTTTCCTGCGCTGGGGCTGCCGGCCGGCGCCGCGCTGGAGTGGTGGCCCGTGCGCCCTGCCCGCCACGCTGGAGCAGCGCTCGCTTGGTGACCGTGTGGCGGCTGCTCTCGCTCCCTGCCATGCTGGGCACGGGCCCGGCCGTGATGGTGCCGGGAGCCTCGTGCCTCCTGTTGCGATCTCGTGTTCTGCTGAGCTTCCCAGCGGCTTTGGCGTCCTGTAACACCTGCGAGCACGATCAAGTAGCCGAGGAGGAAGGTGAAAGCCACGAGCTACAGGGTACCCTATGGTACCCCCTGGGTCTCTGCCAGAGAGCCGGTGTGCTACATTTGAGGGCAATAGTCCGTGCCTTGTGCTCGCTTAGCTGCCGGGAGATGCAGCGTTCAGTTCACCGTGTCCTGGGCATTGCCTTCCTGCCTTGCAGTGCATAGATCTGTACCCACAGCTGCAAGGTGTGGGGAATACTTATTTTTAAGTGGTTGTCACACTTGCAAATCTGTGTTCTGAAATCGCAGACAACATATTCTTTTAATTTTACACTACTTTGAATCATGCATTGTTTTTGCAAGTTTTTTTCTTTCTTTTAGATTTTTACTTTGCTTGTATTAGATCTGGTGTCTAATAAAATGTATTAAAAACTTATGGCTTTCATTATCAAGATTGCTGTGCAAGTTAGCAAAAATATTATTCTCCCATTTTCTCAGGACTTATTTCCTGTCATACAGTCCCATAAAAATATTGAGATCAGTACACTAGGAAGGATGCTTCTTATCAGGTTTCAACCTTTAACCCAGGCATTTCTGTCCTATCTTTCAGTATTTCATTGTGCTTTGTTCCTTCTGCAGATTACCACAGTACAGTTAAAAGAGTTTTTAAAAATTCTATTGATTGTCTGAGTAAAGGGTTTATAATGTAAGAAGGCAGACAGTTAAGTAGGTTTTTTTTTTTTTTTTTTTTTCCCCCCTCTCTTGAACTACCAGGGGAAGAAAAAGAAGCACCATTAATGTCTACAGTGGTCCTGGGAGTACTGATGCCCTGTCTTGTTGCAGGTGGCGAGCACGCGATCTGCGAGACGTGGCGTCAAGGATCATTCCTGTCCGCGTGCTCTGCTGCCTGAGTCTCCACGCGATCAAGCAGATCACAGCAGAGAAACACTCCTCGTGCCGAGGAATTCCAGGCACTGGTGACAGAGAGTGAGCGTCCATCTGGGTCAGTGAAACGCAACGGGTACCACTCCCAACCCTTCTGAGGTACGTGCTGCTATGCAGTGTGACTCAAAATACAAAATGAGAGATGTTTGCATCTAATTTCTGCAGGAATTTGAATCTCATTTTTGAGTAGGTATGAGATATGAGATTTTTATTAAATCCACTGTTTAGAAAAACTTTTTTTTAATAACATTCATATTTGATTTCTGTGCTGCCCAGAAATAAGGCATGACTGCAGAGGCAGTGCTTCCCATTAGAAGAGTAGGCACATTTCTTTAATGATATTTTAATACTTAACCTCCAAGGGAGGGCAACTTCCTCCTCAGGAGTGTGTAGTTTTAGTTTTGTTTTTGACTGTGAAGTGTGGATGCTATGGTGTAAGAAATATTTCATGATTGTTTTTTCAAGATTGGGGAAGACTAAAATTCTCCTTCAATAAATAGTCTATAGCAATAAGGTTTTAAAAATATGTACTCGATGGGATGCCTAGTGCTTCAAGAATAAAATAAATCCTGAGTGATTGGATTTGATCCCTCTGACTCCTTCAGCTTGTTTCATAACTGGTGAGAAGACTTTGATCTCTGAAACGTAGAGGGCATTTTGTATCTTCACTGAACACTTCGTGCTGTGGTAGCAGCCCATGTTTCCATTGCTCCAGGTGATGCACGGTTATGTTTCCATTGCCCATCTGTTGGCCTTGGCCTGAGGTGGTTTGTTTTTTTTTTCCTGGAATGAAATTGCCTGCAAGTCTGACTTGGGAGGAATATGAAACCAAAGAATGGGGCAGATGTTATGATCCTGTTGAATATGCAGAAATTCAAATGGCAAGAACATTTTTGCCTTTGGCAGCATACACAAGAAACTTTGTTCTTGCCTTGCAGTTTACTGTTCCATTTTGCTTATGCTGTTTGTTAAGAGAACTTTAAAAAACAGTTAGCTCTGTAATAGCAGTGGATATCAGAGCATGGCTGGGAAATGGTACCAATTCATGCTTTGAGTAGCCTCGCAAGTCAGCTGCCTGCTGTTCAGTGCAGGTTTTTCTGTGTGTGTATCTGTGTTGGTTCAACTGAAAAGCCCTAAGCAGCCAAAACTGTTGTCAGGGTTAGTGCATTGATTATTTCACCTCTTCAGATGTCTTTCCACAATTTCTCCACTGTGGAAGTGAGTAGGTAGAAGAGAGGGGATCTTGTCTTTGAGCCTGATACCTGTTTACTGTTTCTTATTGGACTGAAGCTAAATAGCAATTGATTCCTAATCTCTATGAGGACAAGTTTTATCATCTTTCTGCCCATAGCGTGCCCCTTATCCCTTCATGGTGTGATTGAGACTGGGCTGTGCAAATACTCTGTTTACCCAGGCGGAGGAAAACACACATTTCCAAGGGAAACTGCAGCAGTCCCCCTGAATAAGTAGAGAGAAGTGGGGGGAAAGAGAGGAGTGGATGATGTCTGTTACACCCCTCCTCATAGCCATTTCTAAAGTTTTTTGGTGAACCTAGCTGTAGTTGAGTGAGTCAAGTGACTTCCTTGCTCTCTGGCCCTGTGACATCAGCAGACTGTGCCTCCTCACTGCTGCAGCAAGAGGGAAAAGTTGAGGTGTGTTAAAATACTGCTATGCAAACAAGCATAGAGATTGAGTTCGAGGTGTAATTAGGTGATTATGTTATGCTTGAGAAGGCTGCTGTCAGCCTCAGCACTTTGTTGTTTGCCAGATGCTTATAAATCTGTATCTGACTGGTATATGAAAACATTTTTATGAGCTTGAATAGTACTTTAAGTGATTTTTCTTATTGCTAATTACAATGTAGACTTCATATTAGCCAGTGGAATAAATTGCTTTCTTAAAAATAAATCCATCTCCTGAAAACATCAAAGAGTTTGTTCTTTTCAAAAATCAAATGAGTGTTTTAATAAAGATTATTGAGGCTTTCTCTCCTTCCTTCCCTTTGTCCCTATTCCTATCTCAGCTAAAAAGACTATTTTCTCTCCATATTGTTTCTTTTTGGGTTTTTGGTGTGTGTATAGCTTCGTAGTGTTTTCCTTACTATTAGTAATAACTTCAGACGTGTTCAATTTTCTTATATAATTAAGTTGGAGTTATACAATGAAAAGCTATCCTGACTTCTGAGGACAGTGTGTTCAGAGATATGAATTTTAAATAGGCCACTGAAAACTTAAAGAATAAGCGGGATATTGATTTATGTAGTGGTGAGTTCAATTATAAACCAGCCAAAGTCAGAAAATCCATTTGTAAGATGCAACAGGGTGTCTGGGAGTTGTGCAATAATCACACAATTTGTGCTTGGGAAGTCGCAGGGCACGGCCGAGTCGCGTACTGCTCTGCTGGATTGTTTTACACCCTGGAGATTGCTTCTTAGGAAAATCAGTGTTATGAAAGGACAGCTGCTTTTCCTGCTGAGATAGAAGCGGGGTTTAATTATAAGGCTTGGTAGTTTTCTTGGTTGGACTATGATGAGTTCGTACAATAATCTACTCGAGAACTGTGATAAACCCTCCTGTCTGATTTGCCACTCTGATTATGGAGCTTCTCCTTTTTCCTTCTCCAGCTAGTTTGTGAGCTGCTCCTAAGTGACAAATCTTAACCGTGGCTTCTTAACAGTGGACGCTTCTTTCCTGGCACGTTGGGCCTGCCCTGGGGCTCATCCCACACCCCATCAGGTGCCAGGCTCTGCTGCCCCGCACAAAGGGACCCACCAAGAAGTGAGCTCTGCTTCCATGAGCTGCTAGGTTCAGGCGCCAGGGCGGCCCTGGAGGCGAATCGGAGTGGGGTGGCAACCTGCTCCCAGGCTCTGGTCCCTGTGAAACCACCCCGTCTGCTTCACGTCTCCTGTTACTGCTTGTGACAGGAGAAGCTGCTCTCAGGTTACGCACCGCACAGCTTGAATGAGAGCGTCTTTTGGAACATGTGCTATGAGAAGAAGCAATCTACTGAAATAAGAATTTGAACAGAAAAAGCTAAATGTGTGTGAGTGCTTGCTTTGCATTTAGCACTGCCACCACTATGGTTTGCAAAGTTTAAGAGCATAATCTAGGTTAAGTCCTATTTAACTCTGTGCCTTACTTTGTTAGTAATGATTGTCCTGGCTGCCTCCTGAATCTTTTTCGAAGGACGGATTTTTTTCTTATGTATTGGTGTTTTTTTGTTCTCCCTCAAAAAGTAAATGTAAGTAAGATTTTCCAGAGAAGCTCTTCAGAAATTAGATGTAACTAAGGAAGATGAAACGTCACATGAGCAACTTCAGCATATAAAGAAGTTTTAGCATTGTGAAGAAACTTGTGTACAAGTAAGGTTTATTGCTGATACGGGATACATCATCAAAATTCATCTATTCTGTATTTGGTCCTTCTATAGGAGTAGAAAAAGCTAAGAATACTGCAGGCTAGCGTTGAAAACTAATTCTAAAAGGAAGAAGTGTTATCTTTGACACAAGTGGTGTTTCCTGTGGTGACTGCTGCAAAGCACCTTTTGGGTTGCTATTACCTTTTGGGTTGCTATCATTCATTCCTGACTGGAAATTATGTTTTTGCCTGAGATTCATAATTCATGTTACTCATACTCCTTGTTCAGTTACCCAGATGCTTATAGAGAGTGATTCCCTTAATGGATAATTATGGTTGGTAATGAGGCCAGTCATGGAAGCTGCTAGAGTTGTTTTGGAAGCCCTGTTATCATCAGTGTGAACCAAGCTGGAGTGGAAACCAAAGCTGTGCCCCGCTCTGCGCAGCTGAGGATTTCAGGAGAGACAAACTGGTTCTGCTTGCTTCTGTGCTGCAGCTGCTCAGGGGAACAAAGCAAGATATCTTATTTTGCTTGGGTTTTGTTACTGGGTTTGTTTTAATATTTCATCACTGAGCCTGCTTTTTAAGCAAGGAGCTTTCAGCGAGCAAGGCCAAGTGCTCGGCAAACAAGTGGCTAGCTGGAAAAGTGGTTGCGTGAGGAGCTCTGCAGGCAGGGGCTGCCTCAGTGGCTTCCAAAGGAGGAGCAGAGGGGCAGCAAACCCGCAAGCCCCTCTGCGCAGCGAATGCAGCTGTGGGGAAGGGGTTGGAGCTGTGGAGAGGGGGGCTCTGGTGCCACCTCCTTGGTGGCAACAGCAGATGGGCAGGAGGCCGCACGGCTTCCTCAAGCCGCCCTGCCTTTTCAGGCCCAGCTAGCACCCAAATTTTGTGCCCTGTTAAAAATACAGGGAATGGGCCAGGCCATGTCCCTAGTGTGGCTTATTATCAATGTGATTTTTCTTGCAGATAGACCCAATGGTCTTTCTCTAGCTCCACCTGACGTTGTCCAGAGGGGAAAAGAAGATTTGGGGCCACAGCTCAAGAGAAGAGGCCCTATAATAAGTAGCACTGGACTGTGCTCCATGGAGACTTTTAGTGTTCTCCCCGCTTTCCCGCTGTGCTGCTGCTTTTAAACAGCTCCTGAGGAAGGAGATCCTGAAGTATGCTCAAAGAGCAGTGCAGCCTGTGGGTGCTGTATTTCAAGGTAGTATAAAAATTAGCAAGCAGTTTTTTACTCCTCATTCAGTGCTTGTTTCAGCTGTATAGATTGGATTATACACGTGTAGGGCTTAAATCACTGGATGACAAAAATGGCCTCCTTTTCCCGAAAGTTATTGCCCAGGTGGTCACCTGATCAGAGAAGGAAATCTGAGGTACCAACAAACCTAGCTGCCTGGTTGCCAGCAAGTAAAATGGAAAATACAGTGCTGATGTCATGCAAAGTAGAAATACCCTGTTTTGTAGATTTTTTTTTTTTTTTTTTTTTTTTTTTTTGGCCAATGTGAGAAATGCACTGGCTATGTAGCAGTGGCTATGGCAGTGGCACGTTGTGACCATGTGGCTGGAGCAGAAACCAGCTTTGCTGCTCTGGGGTCGCGTGCGTGGGGCTATTGCCCCGTCACAGACTGCTCGTCTGCACCAGGCTTTCCGCCCTGCCACAGGGAAGGGGCGGCCTGGGCGATGCGCATTCCCAGAGTAGCTTTCCCTGTGAAGGCACTCGCTTTTTCAGTATTTACTTATGTTGAGAAAACTGCAAGAGAAAGAGGCTTCTCTGATTTTGTAACATGACTTGCGAGCATAGCCCAGGCTATCGTGTTTCGGTGAGTTCTCTGTAAAGCACTCAGTCTCTGTAGGCTCTGTGGTACAGTCAGGTCTATTCTGCGCTGTTGAGTGCAGGCCAACTCTTAAGAAAGTGCTGTGTATTGACACAAAGCACTGCGGACAGTTTTAACTAGTCTGCGAGAACAAAAGAGCTTCAGTCCATCCTAAGAGCCCAGTTCAGTGTTTGCTCTTGCATTTTGCTCATAACAAAACTCTGGCTTTCCAGTGGGAGGCCTGGGAGCTTAGCGGTACTTGACAACTCTTATGCAGTGGGAAGGAGTGTTTAGCGCAGTCAGAAATAGCCAGATTTGTGGAAATCGGAAGTGCTGCGTTCAGGCGTATGAGGGGAAGGCTGGGCTGAGAGTGTTTGCCCAGTGCTTGCTTACCTGTATAAGCTTTCTCACTTGTAGATTCCCAGGGGCAGCCATGTGTGCCGTGACTTGCCCTTTTCATTCATGCTCTGAACAACATCTTTAGGGACAGTCCCTTTCTTGCCGGTCGTACGCTCAATGTTCTTTACTGTATGGTCATTGGGCACGTTGCTTTATTTGATGCAAAGGTTTTCACGTGGACGGGTACACGGCCAAGAGCAGAGCTCAGCAGCCCTGGCGAAATGTTCGCTTACTTGCCACACGTCACCGTCTGCTCTCAGCTCTGTTTCTTATTTGTGCTCCTGGCGTGGTTTCTTTTATGCACTAGAGCAACCTTGCTGGCAAGTCAGTCCTCCTCCTTTCCAACTTGTCTGCACACCATGGAGGCTCGTAAAGAAATAAGGCTTTTTCTTGAGAAAACACTATCAGAACTTGGTGGTTTTATGGCAGTGGCCCTAATCCAAGACCATGTCAGAGAGCTGCTGTCTTGGTATGATCACAGCTTGGCCACGTGCTGCTGGGCTGTCTCAAAGATGCCCAGATTATGGTGCCAAGATGCCAAATCTGTAACCCTCAAGGACCAAAAAACCTGTGGGGACAAAATAAAATAAAATGTGATCCCTGTATGCATAAACAGGAGGGTGTTAAATCGGAAGGTTTTCCTAGTGGGTCGTGTCTATGTGACAGAATATTCAGGTCTCTCTCTGTCTGCCTTCTACATTTTATAAAGGCTGTTGGAAAAATTTTGGAGAGGAAGGAAGGACACAAAAAATGGAAACTTTTGGTTGAGTCTTTTGAAGTTCCTTAAAAACTAAAGATTGACTTGTAAGTCTGTAAATGGAAAGAATGAGTGCCAGTAACGTAACAAAATTTGAAAACTAAGACTTAAGGACTTCTAGTGGTTTTGGAACTAGAACAAAATTCCTGTACTTCCC